GGCCGTTGGCGCGTCCCGCCTCCCCGTTCCTGCGGGGAAAACGTCGATCTGCGGCGGTGCCGAAACTGCTCGTTTTGACCCCAAAAAATAGCTCTTGGCATGGCTCCGTCTCAAACGGGAAAGCGTGAGAGCCTCAAAGGGGAGCTTCTCGCTTTGCCTTCTGCTTCCCTTCCAGCTACTTGATCAAAGGAGAGATCTCCGCTCCAAGGCTATATTGCAGGTAAAATGGGACGAAATTTCATGCTAGAGTTAAAAAAGAGAAATCTCAGACCAGACTGGCCGAAGCCTTAGGATCCAAGGTGCACTACACCAGACCTCAGCTTGGTTAAACATAAACCCTCCTTGGTTTTACATTAACGTGTGTGTGTGCTGTATGCAGCTAAAAAGTAAAGGGGAAAAAGGACAATAAATAATAGTTTACTACCTTGTATTTCATCAGGCTGCTGTTGAAGTCCAAAACATCTCTCACAGGCTGCACAACCTCCTGTGACCTTAGATCCCCGAGGATTCGAGCACAGGAAAATCATCTACCTTTACAGAAGAAAGGACACATTGCAGTGGCACACTTCATGGCCAAATTTTAATTTGCCAACGTAGGAAAAAATGTATCTAAAAAGCATCTGCTTTAGTAAAGCTGAAATACCAACACCACTGAAGCCTACAAGCCACACTGACATCACGATGCACAAAAGCTGCCACAGAAAATTGAGTGCAGTGAGTACATATATACACACGTGTAATGCACACCTACACATACAGGCATGTAGCTACAACATTTGGGAAAGATCAGCTTAATTTCTCACCGGAGCAGCAACAAAACCCACACTCGGTTCTGCTGCACTAACCCAGCCATCGCCACCATGCGCTATTCTGCAGAGATTATGGGATAAATACATTAAGCTCTTCAGCAGCACGGAGTCAGGTTCAGTCAGAGCCCAGGCTGGCTCTTGAGTCAGGGTAATCCCCAGCTCTGAGCCACAGTACCGGGAAAATTATTTTACAAAAAAATACGCCGAGAAAGTAACCTTACGGCTATCCAACATAGAAGTAAATTCAATTCTACACAAACCAACTATTCAGAATTTGTCAGCTCTTTATGAAATACTGGATTTTTAGACATTCAGCTGCAATATGAACAAGCTCAGTCTCCGAGAGGCTGAAGAGCCATCACAAGGAAATGCTTCAGTTCCGATACATTAATATTAATCAGATTTAACAGAAAAAAATAAATTGCTTTCAGATGTAGCCACATTCTTTAAGTATGGAAGAATCCCACTGAAAAAAAAACTACTAAATTTAGGCACAAATTAAGGCATAGACAGCATGCCTTAAGCCAGTTGATACTAACTAAGCATAAAATTGATGAAACAGGTATAGCCAAGTTGTAAATCTGAGTTAAAAAAAATCTTTTTTGCATTAAATCTAGTGAAATTTAAGAAGTCTTCCCAAATTTTGCCACCTTTGAGCACGGGGAACGCACGTGGTGCCGCAGGCACGTGCGCCAGGAAGCTGTTTGGCCCCACATTCCTCCCGGGAGCCCCCGTTCCGTGCCTGCAGTGGTAACTGCCTAACGGGAGCCTGTGAGATTTAAGGAACCTTACGGTGATTCCTTCCCCTCGCAGCGCGTTATCCCGTAGCCCCCAGCCCCGCTCCTGCTGCCTCGAAGAGCAGGAGCGCCTCGAGGAGCGTCTGGCCCGTTGGCAGGGCGACGTGCGAGCTCCCTCGGGAGCGCTCATCCCATCGTTCTGGATCAGCCGCCAGGATCAACTCCCTCGGCTTCCCTGCGCCCGGGCCAAAAGCATCTGCTCTTCATCACACGGAGCGCGCGGCCCCGCTGTCCCTGCTCGCGCCCTCCCTTCTCCCGTCTCCCAAAACCCGGGCCGTTAGCAGGGCTCCTTGCTCGCTTCCCGGCTGACGTTTCCAAACGGTGCTTGCACGTCGCGTTTTGTCACCGCAAGCCCGTGACACACCTTGTATTTTGCTGCCCTCCAATATAAGCAGTTTTGCTGCAGCGACCTTTAGCATTTCTTAAGCTTACCCTAAACACTGACGTTTAACAGCAGCCTAACGGCGTGAAGGCGACACACGAAATGCAGCCTTTCATCCTCCCGGATACAGCAGTAAACGCAGGAATTCCTGATGCATCATCCCCTTGTAGTTTCCCTTCACCTCCAAATTTTCTAGAACATACTTAGCTGGACTTAGTGCTAAGAGTTAACTGCTAAGATCCTACTGCACAAAATATGAAAGGCAGCATTAAAAAAAATACTCTTGCTAAAAATAAATGTATTATGCCAGCAACAAAAGATCAAAAGCATCTATGTAATTAAAAATTATTAATCTGAGAATATGTATGAAACAAAACGTACATTGTTCTTTTAATTAAAAATATTAGCCTGTAAATTAAAACAGAAGGTTTAAAATAAGCATCGAAGTCAACAGGGTTATTGAAGAAAAAAAAAACCTTTTGTACCACTTTGAAATTTCTGAGTAACTACATGATTAAACACAGGAAATTCTGCTGGAAAGAAATGAAAAAAAAAAAAAAAGGAGAAAGGGATCCTGCTTGCTTCAAGTTTTTCTTATTTCAAAGTCACCAGCAAATTCTTTTTGCATGTTAAATCCACTCCGGGGCGCAGATACAACAGGGGTTCAGCAGGTTTGGGAACAAGGCGGCTGCCCCTGTCACCGCGAGGACACTCTCAGCTCACCCTAGACCTGAGGAACTCACGGGAGTTCTTTCCAGGGGACACCCAGGAGGGCCTCCCCTGCCCAGCTTCCAGCTGCTTCGGCACCAAAACCAAACGGGGAGGTTTTGCTGGGCCGGGAGGGCAGCTGCCCCAGCGGCAACACGCAAACGCACCCGTGCAGAGATGACTGGGGAAGAAACAAAACACATCCTACTAACCCAAATGCAGCATGGACTTAGGGAAAATGATCTGAATTCCCCTGGAGTGAACTCCCGGGAATGTCTTTTTGCTGCACCTGGGCACACTCGGCCCTGCTCCGGAGCTGAGCTGCCCAGGCAGACACGCGACAAGCACCTCCAAAAACACTCACTCACCCTGAAACACCAGGAATAAACCACATTTGACAACTCCAGCAGCATTCGGGCACAGACTCATTTGTAAACAGAGCAGAAATCAACACCCCTACCCAGTAACTTTGTTCTTGGAAGCTTGATAGGTGGATGTCCTTCACTACTCACTGTGAAACTGCAACTGCCATTTATGTTCCTTTGGGAAAAATATTCCTTACCTGGGACTAACTGGCCAACAGAGAGAGCGTGGAACAGACTATGTCCATCTTACAAAAGAAAGGCTTAAAAAAAATATAGAATTAAAAAAAAAAAAAAGAGAGAGAGAGAGAGGGTAAATCTTGGCATGGAAATGCTTCTTAAAAAAATCGAAACTGTACGACTTCCAAAGCCATACTAAAAACATTTGAGCTCAAATTCTATATCTAACAGAAAAGATCACCTTCGAAGAAGGCCAACACATCTCAATGTTTTAACATCCTGCAAGCCTACAGCGAGCATCAGTCTGAGATCATAAATCCCCTTATAAACCAGGAACTCTTTTATCTTGCTGGCAGTTCTCTCCCCAGACTCTCACCACCTGTAGCAGAGCAGATGACATCATCAGCTACAATTCTTTCGTTTTGTTTTAAATCTATTTGCACATTTTTCATCTAAAACTAAAAAAAAAATGGAGATAAATAGCACTCAATATTCATGTACCCTTTATTTGCTTTTTGTGTAACAATCCATGCTAACTGCAGATGTAATATTTACAAGTGTAAATATAAGAACGAACAACTCTGGGGTGGTTTTCTTCTCTTTTGTTCTTACACATGAATATTTTGGCTTACAAAATTAACAGCGTACAGTAAATAATCCTCCCATATTTTGTACAAACTACATGATTTTGATATACAAGGATTCTGGTTTTATTACAGTGACAATATACAACCATGTCTATTTACAATGCAAAAAAAGTATATAAACCACATTTTAAACATTCTGCTACTGGCAGCCACTATAGTTGAGGAGGTAGCTTTAATTAACAAAATGAACTGAAGCCACATTTTCCCATCATGTGTTCTATCAAATAATTTACAATACAAAGATAAAAATTCATCGTATGAACAGTATATACAGTTTCATTCTCAAAACAGCAATCTAGCTTCAAATCTTAACGAAAATGTCACCTGGGATGGCAGATTTACCCTTGATTTACCGTATTGCTCCAGAAACAGATCTAGTTACTTGATCGTGCATTCCTAATAGGTTAAATCAGAATTCAAACTCAGTACAGATACATGGATCGCGGATTGCAGTTAAGTGATTTGGGCCTCGGGACTTAAAGGGTTTAAAAGCAACGCACCGGTTTGCAAGAAAACCGGTGACTACGCACAGTGTACTTCACTCTCGGTAAAATAACGGGCAAAAACCCCCCACATTTTATTGCAAAATTGCCTTCGGTCATCCCTGCTCTGGCTAAACATCTCCAGCTGTTCACAGATACTCCCTCTTTTGCCACGTGCCTGGGCTGCCCGCGTGGCCCGCGCTCGGCAGTGGCGCCGACGGCCCCGCGACGCCCCCAGCCCCATTGCTCCCCACAGCCGCTCGTGTCCTTATTTCACCGAGAGCGCAGGTGTGGCGGGCGCTAAGCACCTCTATGAGGAAAAACAAAAAAATCCTTTTAAAAAAACTGAACGCTGGCTTGAAGCGCAAGCCAAACGCGGTGCCCCTGGACCACTCTCACAGTTCTGCATGGGAGAATTAACCCCTTTTTCTTTTTTTTTGGCCCTGCAGTAAAATTCATCCTGAGATTCAACGCTGAATGCACTATACAAAGCTAGCAACAGAGTTGTTGGCTTTATTATAGAAAAGGCGCGCTTAAAAATAGCTTCTTTAATATTAACAGCTGTCCTTTATATTGTGCTTTGGCAGGAAGAAAAAGAAAACAGAGCCCCAAACTTACCTTGCCAAGAGCAGAAGCAAAAACACAAGTGGAGTACAAGACAGCAAGAGGCCTCGAGCACGTAAAAACTGGAGTATAAAAGGAGCCCCTATTGCTCGCACAGGGTGGAAACGCTGGGTAACAGATTTGGTTTACCAATTATTTACAGTGAGGGCAATTTATTATTTTCCAAAGGCACGGCTCAAGAAATCGCCGCCCGCTTCCCTTCTTTACAAGCGATGCTAGGAGCCAAACAACGAGACGCGACAATAATAATAAAGTTAGAGCAACGATTACCAAAGTGCTTCGTGGCGGGGAGAGGGTCCGGGGCGCTCAGTCCTTGCCGCGCGGGGCGTCGTAGGCGTAGCGCACGAGCGGGAAGCCGCGGCTCTGGTAGAAGCAC